TCAGCAGCATGCTGTGTAGCTAGCCCGACTACAGGGAGAAAGGCCGCCAGGCCCCACTGCACTTCTTCCGCACAACGACAGCTGAGAGGCTTGTAGCAAAGGAGATTGGTGCTGAGGCATCCGGAGCAGAAGGGTAGGAACTTCCTGGGGCGCAATCACACACCACTTTCAAGTTCTTGAGGGTGTTGGCTGCTGTCTTGCCAGCGTGGTGTTGCTGCGTCGTAGTCTAAGGGTGTCGGGTGTCGGGTTGACCCACGGTGTTTACCCAGCCACCCATTACAGGAGATATCTTTGCTCCTCTGAGCCACAAAGCCTTCTCCCTGGCCGTCAACCCCAACATGAACTCTGAAACCTCGTATCAAACCTAAAGCCCAATCCAAAGATCCCCAACGACTTAGTATAAATACCTGTAAGTTCAGTTTACGAGCTGGAAAGCGGGGTCCTTTCAACGCCAAGCCTTTGCATCTGGGTCTCGGTTTGGGGCTCGTTCCAGGGTAGAGAAAACCCTAAACCCTAAACCCTAAACCCTGAAGTTCCGTAGGTTCTCCACAAGATGCTGCAGGTCCCTTCGGGTTTCGACCCTCTCACGTTCGCACAGAGCAGGCCGGGCTTCGGGATTTTGGGTTGTAGCGCCTGTGAAAAGGGGTGTGAGGCCGCTATGGTCCTGCATTTCGGGTTTCATTCAAAAAGAAGCACCGGGATTGGGAGCCTGTCTCGGCGGTCTTGTAGGGTTATCTCGATATCCCTGAGCCCAGCCACTTCGACGATTCCGGCGCCACCCCGGCAGTTACGTTCACCTCCTTGCATATGTCTCAACGTATATGCATCGCATCATCCAAAATGCAAGAAGTAGGGTCCTTCACGCAGCCCGGTTTTATGTTTTGACGCTTAGCTTCAGCTTTGGCTTCATCTGCACATCGAAGCCGTGTATGTGTAGGTCGGATCTGTGAAGGTGCCTTGTTACTACATGGTTTTGGGGAGATGACAGTGCAACACTCTGAAACATTCGTTGCTATATGTACTTATATATATATATATATGTATATATGTATATATGTATACCCAAGAAGTAAAGCAACAGAGTCAACACATTCCAAACAACGAACAACAACCGCTATTGCCCAGAACTTCCACGAGATGATTTGATTGTCAAATCCCAAAAACACAGAGATCTGCACCACATAACAAGTAACAAAGTCTTGAACGGCACAGAAAAAACTCAAACAACAACTATGAATGTGCATCAGGCCTTTGGATGATGCCTCTCATCCACATCTTGCTGAACCTCCAAACATTAAAAAAAACAACATGAACCCAGACACTGCAAACCCTAAACCCTACAAACCCTAAACATCAACATCCTAGCATCCTTGGGCTCATGAAGCTTTCCAAGCAAAGCTGCGATGGGCATATCACGAGAGCGGACCAACCAGGCGAGAAGCCCAAAAGGTTAAACAACAATGGCAGGTGCTCAGAACACTCCAAACCCAAAGCCCTGAACCCTAAACCCTAAATGGAGGCCCTAAGCAACAAAAGTCCCCAGAAGCTCGTTCCAAAGTCCTGGCCCGTGCCCGTGCTGCCGCGGAGACGGTGCCTCTCCTCACCTGCACGATGGCGGAGGGTTTCGGTTTTTGAGACTACGTCGAGTCTTACCCTATCACCGATATTTGCAGCTTGCGAAAATGAGCGACATGAGTCATCGAAAGGTCCAGGTGAAAGGCATTGGGAACGGAGGATATGACAAAACAAGACTCGCAGCTTGACCACCAAGGTAACGTACCGAACTTGCTCACATCTGACTGCCGCGCCCACGTCCATAGGCCAGAAATCTTGCGACACAACATCGACAGCTGCACTCCAGCACCGATGTGTGATGCCCGATTTATGGACATCTCTACCGCGGTGCACCAGCTCAGACAATGATCCGTGCGAAACACACGCTTCCAGTGTTCAACCAAGATACTGGCCACTTGCAAGCCTTGCCCCATGGCCACAGCAGTGCCTGCAAAGCGGCGAGATGTAGAAGCATCTTTTAAATGCTTGCGAACAAAATTGATGCTTGCATCAGGGGATGTTTGCAAACTACGGTAGGAAGCTTATGATTAAGCGACACATACGTGTAAACGCCTGTCAAGCTCATCGGATCGGGAGACGTGATGAACTTGGAGACCACTGCATTCTGCATGCTTGCCGTCTGGCTACCACGAGCCAGAGAGCCCCTATACCCCATTGCCCTACCCGAATAGCACCTCTGAAACAAGGGAGGCCAGCAACAAGCCTCCTGTCACCCAGCCTGTGGCATTCACCGGAGAAGGTCCAGTCCTGACGAAGCCGGGGCAGGAGGCCAGTCCCGTCCATCCCCCCATCCCCCTGGGTGAACCGGAGGACTGCTTCTAGCTTCTGTGTCTCATGTTCCAGGGCCAGGTGCAAATTTAGTTTTACAAAAAAGACCACGGAAAGCACTTCTCGATTCGGGCCAGGCTCTGCGATGACACATCTGCCTGGCGAGGGCGAGGTCTGGGATATCGTCAAACCCGAACTGCCAGCAAAAACACCACAACTGGCCGACCCGATAGCTACTTTTTTTCCACTTATATGACAGGTTTTGGCTCCCGCAAGCTTCTCGCACTTTGGGAACTGTATAGTTTTGGGTTCAAGTAAGGCGGAAGGCAGGCAACGCAATCTTGAGAAGTGCAGCGTCCAAGTGCATCCTTTTCGCCGGTGGACACTCTGGGCTTGTGTTGCTCTTGCAGAAGTACGGACAACAAAGCCTGAGGGCTTGCCAGCATCCCGACTGCCCAACCTTTGCTCGGCCTCCTCTGCTTTCAGAAGCATGAAGCTGCCGAGAACCCAAAGCAGTTTGAGACCAGCCATGCCGCCAGCCGAATGGAGCTAAGAGCTAAGAGAGAAGATTAAGGCGACCAGTCTACATACACAGTGAAGGCACGTGCCAGCAATGCATCACTTTCCAACGCTGTCGTCCAAGAGTGCAGCGGCGGAACATCGCGTGCCCAAGTCGTGATCATGTGGAATACCCTATGCCCGATAACATGCTTCATTGATGTACATCGGTGGACCTCGCATTGTTCAAGACCCGTTGGCGCTGCAGGTTACGATGCTCCCAAAGTCAAGAAACTACCCGTCTCCCCTGCACGCATCTCGTTCCACATCGACCAAGTAGTTTGAAAGTAATGTGGCAGGCCTACTACACCCAAAGCGCAGTAGCCTAGAATCCTTCAACCACTCTGGATCATTGCAGCCGTACAGTCGCTAGCGCACGTTCAACGGCCCCTCACGATGGCCACTCACTATGGCCAGCTGTCTTGCCATGCTTGCTCTCCCAGAGTAACTTTTGCAACGGAGCCAGCAGCTGCTAGCAAATGCCGAGCCCAAAATGCAAAAAGATGCCAGGTTTCAAAAACCTGTGCTTCCGGCATGGTACGCTGCAGCTCTTCGACAGAAACTGGTATGGAAGAACAACTAATTCACGAGACGACCCTGCAAGCTTAAACTTAACTCCTTCACCCAAAGACCCGCCCACACAAAAGTCTGGGAGAGACTGAGACCGCGGCACTGCTCAGCCTCAGTTTGTCGCCGGGCTTCAAGCGTTGCTCTCTTCAGTCCGGGTGGGCACTGATTTATATAACTTTGCCTGAAAGGCGAGAATATGTTGCAAGGTCGCTGCTGGATTTGCGACAGTGTAACTATCGAGCAACCACGGCTGACAAAACTCGGGCCATGCAGTAGTACTCCGCCCTAGGCTGGTACAAACGTTCCGTTGAACCAGACTGAAATGCTTTAGCTTGGTGCAGCAAAGCACGCACACATTTACGGGCATGCGCGCACACACACACACACAAAGATACACCTGAACATAGCTTCTTGCACAGCATCCGGTTCCCGTCCCAAGTACGCATGCCCCAACGACGATTGCGAGTGGCCATGGTCCAGCGATGATGGAAACTGCATATTTCTGCAATTTCTGTAGTCGCGAAGCGATTTCCGTGAAATCCGATTGTCAAAAAAACATCATCTGCTGCGTTGTCAAACTGATTCCCCCTTCCGCCCGTGCACCTGGTGACTGCAGCACAGTACCCCCGATTCTAAAACTGACCACGCGAGTACGTTCGGATTACAAGATGCGTAAAAGCCACCAGGAGTGAATTTGAGGTAAATACAAAGGGGCTACTATGCAATGCTGGACCAGGTTGGATCACATCATTGAAACTGCTCGCCAAAGCTCTGCTGTGGGAAGATGTGGCCCATCAGTAGTCCGCACGCTATCGCAGTCTTTACAACTTCTTGGATTTGTTTTTGCAGTGACAGTCTGCGCATCTCTGGGTTTCGCACTGTAGGGTTGAAAAATAGGCGCTAAATCACTTGGAACAAAGTGCTGGGGTCATGCCGCCATGGCTATAACCATGATTGTATGTTCGCTGTGTATAACTTGGAAGGAGCCAAGTAGTACCCACTACGCATCCCATACTCCTCCTTCCCGACATGCCCTTCGCATCTTCGCTGAATGTGTTTGCGCCTTCGTCAAGAGGGAAGTATAGTACAAGTTCAGAGAGAAGGAAAGCCATGAACTTGGAATGCTCAGCCAAGAAACTGCATTGCCGGAGGTTCAGGGATCGTGTGACTCAGACACGTCCGTTGGGCTCCAGTCTTTTTGAGCCAGAACCCTGCGGCGGGCACAAACGAAACTTTCGAACGTTTAAGTTCTACAGTCTACACCATGCACGCGCAAGCTCATACGTCCCCATGCTGAAGGTTGCCTACTCACCGATGACGAATCCAACCCCTGTGGACGGAACCGGAACCAACAAAAGCGTCGGGCAGTGCGTCCAGGCTGAGCTCATGATTGAAGTGTCGAGATCTATCGCCCGTGAGCGATTTGCTTGACATCGCCCCGCCCCGGGGTGATAATCAACCGTCAACAGGCACTTCGAACGAGGCAGCCTCAGGAATCTGCTGCCTCCGCACAACCCGCCCGACTGCTCCTGTGCCATCCGCCTCAAGCGGAGGCGGCAGCAACTGCCGAAGGTACCTGTCGTCAGCTAGCCATCACAGAGCTTTGCCGTTGTGTATTCAAAGCTGTATAGTTTCTTCGTCGGAACCCGGCCAGCATCTTGCAAGCTTGCTCGAGCTTGGAGGCCTGTTCGTGCCTGCAATGCCACCGTAAGAAGAACTCAACAGTGCCTTTCCCCACACGAGATACGACATCATCGTACTACTACCGTTACTACTGATGCCAGTACAACTGCTACCACTACCACTGCTACTACTGCGACTGCGACGACGGCGACGACCAACCTACTATTGGTGGTACTACTACTACTACTACTACTACTACCACTACTACTACCGACTACCACAACCACTACTACCACTGCTGCTGCTGCTGCTACTGCTGCAACTACAACTGCAACTGCAACTACTACTACTACTACTACTACTACTACTACTACTACTACCCCTACTACCACTACCACTACCACTACCACTGCTACTATTAAACTGCTACTACCACTACTACTAGTACTACTACTACTACTACTACTACTACTACTACTACGACCACTACCACGACTACTACTACTACGACGACGACTACTACTATCATTATTATTATTGCTCTCACTGCTAACTTTTGCTGCCACAGCTGGTGACAGCTGGTGCTACTGCTGGTACTACTCGTGCTGCGGCTACTGCTACTGCCACCGCAGCTACTAGTGCTGCCACCGCCACGCCAGTTTTGGCAACAATTTGCACATAATCAAAAAAACAACAGCTCAGTAAGAGCGTGCAGATCCTTGATACTGTGTGGAACACAGTGCATACTTCCTAACTCCCAGTATTTGTAAGGATGGGCCGCACTCCCATCAACACCAAGCCAAATGCCCCATTCGTCTGCCGGGCTGCTCATCGTAGATGACCCACATGGTTGGGATCATAGTTTCGGCGGGCTCCACCTGTATGCAGAGCCGAGCTGCTGGGAAAGATAAACATCAACATCCATCAAAGAATACTACAACCAAGTAAAAGTTTTCGTAGACGTACCAGTAGTAGTTGTCGTGGAAGTAGTCGTGGTGGTGGTACTGGTGGTGGAGGTAGAGGTAAAGGTGGAGGTGGAGGAGGTGGTGGTGCTGGTGCTGATGCTGCTGCTGCTGCTGGTGCTGGTGCTGGTGCTGCTAGGAGTAGTAGTAGTAGGAGTAGTAGTAGTAGTAGTAGTAGTAGTAGTAGTAGTAGTACTAGTAGTAGTAGTAGTAGTAGTAGTAGTAGTAGTAGTAGTACTAGTAGTAGTAGTAGTAGCAGTTTAATAGTAGCAGTGGTAGTGGTAGTGGTAGTGGTAGTAGGGGTAGTAGTAGTAGTAGTAGTAGTAGTAGTAGTAGTAGCAGCAGTAGCAGTAGTAGTAGTGGTGGTGGTGGTGTTGTTGTTGTTGCTGCTGGCATTGTCGTTGTTGTTGCTGCTGTAGTCGTGGTCGTAGCCGTAGCCGTCTTGGTAGTAGTGGTGGTAGGTTGTCGTCGTTGTCGTCGTCGTCGTAATCACAGCAGTTGCTGTTGCTGCTACGGTGGTTGTCGTTGTACAGTTTGTACAGTTGTTGTCGTTGTCATTGTCATTGTCGCTGTGGCTGTGGCTGTAGTACTTGTTGTTGTTGCTTTTGTCGTTGATGTTGCTGTTGTTGTCGTTGTTGTTTTCTTCTTCGCCATGGCTGCTGATGCCGCAGACGCTGCTTCTGTCCTCTTTTGCATCGCTCTCCTAACACACAGCAGACTGGTTGTTACTGCTGTTAGCTACGACTGTAGCAAAACACTCAAGACTACCTTGGGTGAATGCCATGGTGCTGCAGTGCAGCTATCTGCACTACTACGATGTTCCCGGATACTTGCATTGCCAGTGCTCTGCATGGAGATGAAAAGAGAGAAGAGCGTCGTTGGAACAAGAGCCGACTGCCAACTTCAAGCATTCGGCAAGCTCTCTAGATATAGGCTACAGGCTTAATTTACAGACTTTCATCTGGTACGAACACACATGCATCATAGAATCTGGCAGAGCCTGCTTGCTGATACGTTTAGCTGGGCGGACTCTGCGAAGAGCCTCCACCCACGGTTGCTTCTTGTCGTCGCCGTTGCACCTTACACTTCCCAGAATGAAAACCGCAGCTGTGGCGGGGAGGATGCTGACAAACTCTTATGGCAGGAAAATGCTGAAAGCAATGTGGCCACATGGCAATGCCCCAATTGTCCAGGTGCCCTGACTTCGGGTGGGGACGCCTGTCCAAGCCTCGTAGACTTGATTTCAGGCTCCCTACTGACACGGCCTTTCGCAACGTCCAGGGTCGGGGTCTGTGTAGGATGGCACTTGTGCTGGCAAGGTGGCCCTGGGGCGACTGTAGTGAAGAAGTCTGAAGGCAGAAGATTACGGCTTTTCGGTGCGTCTTCGAAGACTATGGCCACACAGCAGTCTGTGCTGAGGCCGGGAACCACGTCCTGTCGAAGGCCTTGCCGGGGGTCTGCTCGCGAAGACCTTACATGACATCACATCATCACCCCAAAAAACCGAAAGCCTCAAAACCAACCCAGGTCCGGCAGTGCCGAAGCTTAGACATCTAGAAGCAAAGCCCCAAAGCCGTATCAACCGAAAACCCCCCAAAGCCTTCATCTGGGGAAGCCCTGGGCCTGAATTAGAAAACACAGCGCAGCAAGGAGCACCCGGAAATCATGCACGTATGAATCCATCTGCCGTTGTGGGACTGTTGTTGGTGTGATCTTCGGGTTTTCAGATTCAGGACATTGAAACATGTCATGTCTATAAACACCTATCTCACACTGGTGACTGCGACGACTCTCAAGCTCCTGTGTAAAGGCGAATGCCCGAGACGTCTTCTAGACGTTGGCCCCCTGCAGCTCCGGCAGTACAGCAACCTATTTTATAGAGTCGGGTGATAAAAGATGGTGCCAGTAGCTTGGCAACCCACCTCAATTTAGGCAAGAGGAGCCCACACATCATAACCCCAGACAGCATCTTCAAAGGCATTTGCTCGGATCCATGCCTGAAGAGGTCCAAAGCCAAATCCCGAAACCCAACAAACCCGACAGCCACATGACAAGGTCGCTTTTCTCCTCCATTCACTGTCGCCGAGTACACGGGTTCGGATGCTCAGCGGTTTGCCTTGGCGACACGCTCGATCTCGTCCTGCAAGCACAGCTTGAAGAAGAAGGAGCTACGGAAGCGCGCTCTACACCCTTTTTTTGCACCCAGACTCTGTTGTAGAGCCCCTAAACCCTAAACCCAGAGGGAAGATTGGGGTTCAATTCGACCTAGGGTTCTCTGGTTTGCAGGGCTTTGGGGATGCGGCGGAAGCTCGCTATGCAAAGTACGCCTAGCAAAACTCTGGGGCTGATATCCCCCCTAAACCGCCTTTCATCAAGCCGCAAAAAACCCTGCCTAAAATGAAGTCAACGGCCAAGGCCAGTGACATACGCACCTCATGCCGTCGACGTACGAGCCGAAATTTGTCGAGGCATGCAAGTCTCAAAAGAGCCGAATCAACCACATCCACACTCTAGCAAGCCAAAATGACTGCCAAACTACCTCCCACAAATTTTGCGGGGTGCGGGTGAATCAGGAGGAGCTTCGACTCTGGACAAAGTCAGGACTTTGTAGCTTCGAGAAGGGGACAAGCGAAGTCCCTGCTATGTAGAGAGTGCAACGCTGCCAGACAAAACGAACCCAAATCTGAAAGCGTTCAAAAGTTGAAGAAACTTGTTGCGGCCCTACAGTCTTGTTGCGGCCCTACAGTCTTGTCATTCTGCCTCTACTGAGGGCTCGGTTTGACTCACTGACAAGTGTGCATGGACAACCCTCTTACGCACGCAGATTCGCACTACGATCATACTTGCTATGCAGGTCCTGACTGCAGACTGACAAACCCATGATCAGGAGTGGCAGGATAATATTCAACAGCCGTAGCTTTGTAACTTCGTTCCCCACAAGAAGTGCGAGTGCACATTTCTGGTGCAATCATGATGGCCGCGAGAGTGGCCCCCTGCCCCCCAAGTGCAGTGCATGCAGCGCGCGAACTGCAAGGCTTCAGCCAAACATTTGGGGGTTCCTGAAAATAGGGGACCCTAATATAGTACCCTAAATAATAGGATCCTTAATATAAGGACCCCAAAATGTGGCACCCCTAATTTTCGGAAACTCCCATTTCTACAGCCGGCCTTCTTCTTGATGGCATAGCCTGGCAAATGCTTGCACTTTCGTCCGGAGAGCCACAGGTATACAGCTAGAGGGCCCTAAAACGGCTCGGATATCTAGGAACACTTACTTGGCGGTCACTTCGTGCTCGTCGGAAATGCCAGCTTCAGTGAACAGCACCAAACAGCTACAGCTCGCCTGCTTGAATCCTCTTCAGGGAGATCTGGATTTGTGAGAAGATCTCGCTATCTAGCAGTGTCAAAGTGGCCACCGAAGGCACCCTTGCAACACTCGGTCAGTTGAGCAGATGACCTATGCACCCAGCTTGTAACGGTCTTTCCTGAAACCGTCATTCTCTCGACGATGCCCCAAGCAAGATGCGATGCAGTCAGGGTGCTGTTGGACGACTCCTTTGCCTTGCTTGACAGAGGTCGGTGCAAGCATGCGGCAGTGGGATCGAGCTGAGGATGTGGGGTACCATGGAGGGAACACTGCGATGACCGGCGACACACTGCAGTATTGTGTGAAAGGGGGCAGGGGGGGAGGGGGAGGGGGGGGGGATTTCAAGATCGTTGTTTCGAAGGCATGGGCAATTGTAAATAAACCCTTTGGACGTCCAATCCACCAACTACAAATAGCGCACATTGCCTGACACGTGCGAAAAAAGCCTGGGAAGCCGCTAGACTGACACTGTGCCACTATGACCCATGGCGCCCAGCATGTCGTGGCCCAGCTGCAGCATTCATGATCTCATCTGCAAGGCACTCTGAGATGGACTTGATGTTTCCTCGGGGCAATCGGCAAAGTTGATGAGTTGGTCCTTTCTACATCGCTTTACCGTCATTGGACCGAAAGTCCACCAGCCCGAGCATCTGCTACTTGACAACCGAGGAACGGAAAGCGCTGTTTCGGGCTCCGGTGCAAATGAGGTAGATGGCCTGTCAGCTTGGAGCACGATCACCAAGAGAGGGCTTCACCTTCACAATGCAATTTATGCTCCTGACTTGGATTTTAGAAGCATGGCACCTCGCACCAAACTCAACCGTACCCCAAGCACCTGACACTGAAACTCACAGCACCTGAAGAACTCCCATCCACGGTCTCGGTTTTTCGAGTTCGAGTCACCAGCTCCGTTAGATGAATAATATGCCTTTTCGAAAGCCCAAGTTCTGTTGATGCCAAGGCCTGGTTCACTCGTCGAAGCGGAGAGACATCCACAGCCTGGCAGGACAGGGCTGCTGGGTCCAGGCTGGGGACGCTATGGACGCTCGGGGGTGTATGGGGCCGAGTGTGCTCATGTTCAGGACTTGAGTCTGTTGGCCCTCCGCGTTATTGGCGTGGGGCGGTTCAGGGCGTCCTTTGGCTTATCTGCTCCAGGGTTCGGTTTGGTGTCCGCCGGTGTATGACAAATCACAAGAGCTGCGATTTACAAGTCGTGCTGTAGACCACGGATCGCTTCACGCCCACAGCCGACAGTGGGACAATAACGGACATGCTCGGGAGCATTATTACTATTTACATACTGCATGTTCAGTTTTTGATGCCATGGCATCATAGCTCATGGCCATTCCTACCTAAACCCTAAACCCTAAACCCTAACCCTAAACTTCAGACACAGAGGCGATCAAGATCACTGGACTCCACTCCAGGCCAGGATGGTAGTGTTACACGAACAAGGGCTCGGGCTCCAGCTCACCCTATTAAACCTGGATGTAGGGGCCTTCATAGTTAGAATAGGGTTTGGGTGGTTCTTGATTATAATTATAGTATAAAATGCCCCCCAAACCCTATTCTAATTATGAGGGCGCCTATATTAAACATGCCTAAACCCGAAAGCCAAACCGCGGCTCAAACGCTCCGATCCACGGCCAAGGCCTGTCGCCGCACGACACCAGCGGATCCGACACGAGTGGAGTCTTCGCGAGGACCGCCGTTCCTGGGAAGGGCCGACATAAAACAAAACACGAATGTCAGCTAGCTGCTCTATAGACATACGGTGGGACGCGGCATTGCGAGTTCCAGGTTTACGCTTGTGTTGTGGCTCGAAGATAGATCCGGCTGTGGTTGCGTTGAAAGCCGCGAAAAGCTGGCTCAGGGCTTCGTTGCGGCTATAGGTGGGAGTTTCAGAAGTTAAAAGGGACGAAGGTATAGCCTAAAATTGGGGATCCTTATATAAAGGAGCCCTGATCCTCAGGCTGCAGGTCTGGCTGCACTGGCCCCGATGTCCGGGCAGGATGCCCCGAACCCACCCCCGAACATAAATCAAGAATTCTGTCGTCAGTATCAGTCAGTATTTGAAGTAGAATAAGTAGAAGCCATGACTTCGTTTTGAGAATGTCAGCCCAAACCCCAATGTAGAATTTCCCAAAGGGAGTGGCGTGTCCGAATGTTAGAGGCAGGCGACTACAGTGCTGTGGCCAAAGCCCTGCAGGGTCACTCGCATTCAGCCAAGCTGCTTAACTGCATCTACGAACACCTGCATTTTCGGCGACAAGATGAGACAGATGAGACAGAAGCTGCGAAGGTCGAACCGAGTCTTCGCCACTCAACTGCTACAGGTACCCGGAAAATCTGACCACCTTCGAAAGAAGATAAAGAAGCTGCCTGCCTACAACAAAACTTACGGGATACAATAGTTACATGCCACATCATACATCTGCAAATCGCTCGAATCTCTTCAAAGGTATGCAGCCGATTCCCGATTGTGTAACTCTCGTTTAGGTAGGGCACGCTCTGCATGGGTCTGAGTTCTACTGCTCCGCCGCTCTTGTTCGTCTTGCGATGATTATCTCTGCGACTGCGAACTTTTAATGTGGGCTGTGCACGGCACCATGGGGTGCGGAACAAACAATCCCCGCCGCATGCCGCACGCGGCCAGAAACGGATGAAGGAGTCATGGAGGAGCTCAGATACGTCACAGGCTTCGCCTGGATGGGGTTCTTGTCTGTGAGCAGGTGGATGATCTCGAAAGCGTGCTTTACGATGCGCACTGCCATAAGCTTCTTACCTCAAAGCGCAGGAAAACTTGTCAGGCAGCTAGACCTACGTCTACGTTCGAATCCCTCCGCAATGCAAACCCGTGTGCACCTTGACACTGCATGTAGTTTCCCGGTCTCGTGGGCAGGGTACCATTGAATCATGCTGAACAACAACAGCAGCAACACTAGGAGTATGAAACACCGATACGACTACGACGGCTGCTACTCATGCTAGGAATGGCAAAATGCAGGAGCCACTGATATCATCATCACCACCCGCGAGCATCCACGATTCTGGTCTGACTCATATCTTGGAACATGGCAACCGACATTTCTGCCAAGAGGCCGTTGTTCCTCCCGTGCCTGGCTACCAAAACAACAAGACTCAGCTTTTGCACCCGAAACATAGGGATGGAGCAAGCCTGCAAGAGCAGTGACACTGAGACTTTATCTGTAGCCTTCGCGGCTTGGGTTTTGTGGCGGTCGCAACAGGTTTGGGATTGAGCTGTAGGGTGTGGCTAGTGCCTCCCGCATGGGTAGGCATGGCAGGGTGCACATTCTTTGCTCCCTCGAGGTGAGACATGTCAAAAGGATTCAGTATCGAGACACTTCCAAGCTGTCCCAAACCCTAAGGGTCCACGTAGCAAATCATCATATACTCTCCCATATATTAACCCCTGTAGGCCAAAGGGCATCATGATGGAGCAGCACAGGCGCTCCACGATGGGGCACAGGGCCTTGCGGAATCGCCTCCAGGTCTCAGGATCTTCGGCTTTGGCTGGAGACTTTGGGTCTGGAATTGCTGAACCCTCGCATAATATAGGGGCCTTAAACAGTAATTTAAGGAAGCCCCAAAATAATATAGGTAATTATTAAGATCCTCTGTGAATATCTGGCCAAATCCTTCAGCATCACGGTTTCGACTCCCACACTAAGGCTTCGCTGCGACTCCCCCGGATTGCGCGACTGGCGCTTGCTCGTGTTTCGGACAAACCACTCATTCAGGATTTAATTTGAAGATCGAAGGCTGCGATGCACGATGTGAGGTTTCGGGCCCAAGATGTGGCTCTGTCAAGGGAGCATTCGAAAGCAGAAATCGCTGCGTCTGCTGCGTGAGCATAGTCCGGAGTGATCCCTCGCATCGCAGAAGCTACGTTCCGACGGGCACTCCCAAGTCCTTGCGTCACTTTTCCCCACTGTGTGAAGTTGAATCAGGAACAATTTAGCAGGTGCCTCATCTGGTAGCGTCCCTGTGTGTGCGGGAGGAAGGACTGCGCGGCCCTGAGCGTGGCATATGTTGTCCACAGGCAACAAGTTCACATGGTTACTCGCAAAGCATAATGCTTGGTGAATGTAGAGAAGGACTGAACCGAATGTTGCCGCCCAGCACGCAAATGCTACGACTATGACTGGGCGACTGTCTAAAGTTTGTATCCCCCAGTCTCTCTTGCATGTCTCTTCCCTGCTCACAGCAGCATAAGATCGTCATAGACCTGCATGCGACACAGAGAACTGCCGAACCCCTGGCAGAACGACCTCCAGCTTCTCCTCGCCAAGATGCTTGTTCACCGCAATGTAGTCAACCAAACCTTCAGTCTGAGCCAACTGTTAGAACTACTGACTACTGCAAGCCGAAGAAGTATGGAGTCGTAAGGATGAGGATGCTTTCTCAGGTTCAGGGCTCAGCAAAGACCGCACTTCAGGGCATAAGGTCTTCCTCGGAAGTTCAATGCCCGCTTAACGCTAAGCCAGAGGCTTTATTGTGCAGAGCGACTGAGGTCCGACAGCATAACATCTTCGTACGTCCACTTCCCGAAGAGCTTGACTTCGGTCGCCGACATGCTGAGCCTCTGAGACGCTTCGCTAGTCTAGTTGTGCCAGGGTCGGGCATGCGGTGCAGTCTGGCAATGTCGTGGGAGAAACTACAGTACTTAGCATGCAGTTAATGCGAAAAAATTACCTGCAAAAGTACCTACTTCGGCTTCGACAGGTGTCGGAGAAATGGGCTGCTCAAGGCCAGCAGTGTGTCTACCACAGACTACTCAGCTGCAGGTCTTCCCTGGAAACCAAGCCGTCCTGGGGCCGGGAATCAAGCTCCCCAATCCAGATGGCCCGCTCTTAGCGCCCGTTCTAAACCATCAAAGGTAACAAATCAACTTGACACAGGCCAGGAAACAAGTCACTCTTTCTTCCTGCCCCGATTCCCCTCCACCCACACACACACACACACGGTGGAAGTCATCCCTACACACACTGAGCTGAGGCATGCGCGAGAGTGCTCCTGGCTCAACGCCTTTGTGGAGGATAACAAGATCCCTTGAGCCGAAACACCCACAGCGACGATCATGTTGAGACGTCCAACTACTAAACTTTAAACTGTTGCGAAATCCCCTTAGCAGAGAGAAACTGAAAGGAAGAGTCAGAAACAAAAGGCAAGCTTGGAGGACCGTGACAGTCGAGCACTGGCTGGGTCAGTGGCACTTTGCCGCGCGGCAGTTCATGATGGCCTCAGGATCCGTCCAGTTCCGAAGTCACCAGCCAGTGTGCAGTCGGCAAAACTGAACTTCAGAGGCCCCGAGAACAGTTGATCGATTCCCTTGCAACTGTTGTGTGCATCTTCCTCTTGCCAATCCCTGCATTACAACTACTAGTAAACTGCATTGGGCCTCCGGACGGTGTAGAGTAAATTCGCCTGCCTGGCCAGCTTGGCGAACTGGGAGATGGGGAAGCCTGGCTGCTGCTGGGCCCCCCATTGTGCTTATTATTTCAAGGCAGCGGATTCAACAAAGGGGCGGCGGGCATTGCTTCAGGTTTTCCCTGCCTGGTTTAGCGAAAATGTTGCTGAAGAGACTCACTGTTACTTCGCCTGAATGCTCTCTCTTCGATGGTTCATGTGCCCCAAACTCCAGCTTCGACATAGTAAACACCGGTAATACGAATAGGAAAACTCGAGACAATAAAATACACATGATACCCGTGCGAAGCATCATGCCTGGGCCACCCAGGCTGATAATCATGGCTCGGTGCTCAGACCTTACAACATCATCACCTGGCAGTCGCGGTACAACTCCATAACCTCTAGACTAACATACCCTCGACACCAAATCATAGTCACTAGTGGCTTTGCGAAGGTATAGCATACACATTCGGGAAGCCTAAGGTCCTGTGTCAATGCCCTATGAACGCCTTGGAGGTGTCAGGTATTGTCTGGTGAACCAACAGCTGAGAAATAAACGTGCTCAATATAGACGCCTACATAATTTAATATCCACTATTCATGCATCCTAAGGGCTTCTTTTTTGTACTTATACTATAAAGTAGCCCACAACCCCGTTCCAATTGATTGTTAAGACCCCTAACATTACCTCCTTCTTCCGGCATCGAGCTGTCAGAAACACGCTGGGACTCCTGTGCCTGGCACGGCCCCATTTGCCCTAAACTCAGGGACAAGGGTTGGAAGCTAGTTGATGCTGCTGATGCCTTACTGAAACCCATCTACACCAGTAGTCCTTAAGCCAAAGCATGACATCCGGCTGCCTAGTAGCCACTCGTCCTGGCCATTGGCAGAGGTGGTCTCGAAGGTGCTTTCAGCTTGGGGTATCTTGGGCAAGAGGGCTACGGCGCGACGAGGACAACAATACTCTGTCGCCTTTCAGGGTGCCTGTCACCATCAACTTCGACTGCCGTGCAAGGACTTCACTGGGTGTCTGCACATGCCAAACTAGATGGTCATCGGGTCCGAGCCGTGGCCCAAAATATGATCATTCACGGTTAGAGGATGGTCATGACCGCGGGGCTTCGGCTTCTAGCCCCGCGTGAGAGGAATGAGACTACAGCCACTAGGTGTGTTGATAGCATGGCAGTCAAACGGAGATCTGGGCCGGGCTTCCAGTTGTGCTAGACGGAACCCGGAAGTGTCATTTTTAGCTAAACACATGCACCCTCAGCAGGCCTCAGCTAGAGCTAATCTTCGAGTAGTGAGTTCAAGGAGTCGAAGCTTCAAAATGGGAAGTACTGGGGCTATGCCGTTGACATGAACGGCATGTGGTCCGGATCCAGAGTCTCTCCAGGCTGCGGACACAACCTCAGAAGCATGGCGCCGAGATCTGGGAGGAAGCCTCTACAGGCCCCTAGGTCTAGGTTTCAGGTCGTGTTACAGCTTTTAATGTTCCTGACACTTGCCCTTCTAAGGGCAGGACTTGTCATCACTCATATCCACGTTGCTGTCGGAGAAACCACACATGTAGAAAGATGATCGTTGTCGGAAGCACACATTAGAGATAAGGCCCATCCCCTACTCGGTACACCAGCCCGTCACAACACTGGCCATCGCCATAGCCCCCGTTGAGTGATTGTAGCAACCCAGAAATCTGAGTACCAGGCCCGTCTTTCTGCTGTTTGAACCACCTCGGCGGAGGCTTCGGGAATGCAAGGCAAGAACCGGGGGCTACGAGGCATGCTGCAGCATGCCTAGCCACTAACAGCATGACTTTGCATGTCGAACGGTTCCTAGAGGGGTACTCATTGCAACACTGTAAGACAGGATCCAGAGGCGAAGGACGTGCCTGTTTGAGCCTAAGGTGTGCTTGAGCGCATTGGGCGTAGGGGGTGAGAGTGAGGCACAGCCAAGCTGCAAATCCGAGGCATGATCTCGGACAGAACTGTTCATCAGGGTTCCTCTCCGGCCCGTTGAGGCGAGCGAAGATCATACTAGTACAGGTCGACTGGGGCTGGCCTTTCATGTAGGTTCACTAGATCTTTGGTCTTGCATCTGCGCTTAATGGCAACAACGGAAGGCAGCTCAAGCGAATGAAGCCAATGGATCAACTCTGAGGGTGCTACAGCACGTGATTCAGGGTTTTGGCTTCGGGCTACATTCCGTTGGACTGATGTACGTACCTTTTAAATGGTAGACACACGATGACACAATGCCGGCGTCCTGGACCCCGCCAGTGTGCTGAGTCCACCTCGGACACAACGGAAAGATGGATTGAGTCACAGCCGCAAGAAACGAAGACGACCTGACAGCTCCAGGCCAAGTACTGAGCCCATCACGCCGGACCCTTCCAACTCGCACTCCACGCCGAGCTCGAGCACTGCGGCACTGGCTGGCAGAAAAATCCTGGAGATGGGACAGGCAGTAGTGCAGTAGAGGAAAAGGGAGGCAGCCCCAATTGTGGGCTTCATGACAAGCCCGAACCTGTGATGCTTTTGCTGCTGGGTGCTGGCTTTAAAACTCTCGTTGCATACAAGTACCTTCAACTTTCTGAGCTCATTAGCTGATCAGTTGAAGCTAGCCGCATAGCCATTCTGCCCGAACCTTTCCGGTAGCCCGGAACTTCACTACGACGGGGTCATGCAACATCCTAGAGGGCTGGGGGTGTGCGGCTTATCGGAATTTAGGCTTCACCTGCTTTCCAGTATCCTGGGCCCCGTACATATTCGTCAAATCTGCTCCGTGGACGGCAATCATCAGCATGGCATCGTGCATCACCTGCATCAGTCTACAAATATCAGCAACCGTGAAACAAGTGATAAAACGACTGGCACGAACAATTCCAGTCTGTAGCATCGGCACGCCTAACATGTCGTGGCCAGGTGTCTCGCAATCATGCAAATACAGCCGTGCAAGTCACAGTAAATACAACGAACAGTGACGACCAGTATGAACGGGTGGTCGCAGCATGCCCGCAATGACAGCAGCCTACATAAACTTGTGCAGCGAAACCAGTATGGCTTGCAAGGAATGTTGCTTTTAAGAGTGTCCCCACACTATAGTTTAGCTTGCATACCAAGTATCTGTGTACACATACAAATACGCATAATATGATATAATACATTGCGATGTAGACTACTTTAATAGAAAAATTTATACTACAAAATACAATGCAATACCATTTAATATGACGTAAATATATATATATATATATATGTATGTATGTATGTATATATATATATATATGTATGTATATGTGTGTATATATAAGTATATGGACAGAGATAGACACCAGGAGGGATAGAGAGAGAGAGAGAGATAGAGAGAGAGAAAGAAAGAAAGGGAGACAGCGGGCTTGTGTCTGATTCCAGCAATCTGCGAGGCCGCCCGTGAAGTACCCACAAGTGCCGTGTACGGACACGTCTGCATGTCTATCAGTACTTTCTTAGCTTGCTTGCTGGCTTTAAACTGGTTAGTCAGATTTGTCCCTGTTGCATGGCTAGCTATGCCCACAAGCGAGGATGTGGCTTGGTTAGCTAGATAGATAAATCGTCGACAGACAGTCTGTCAGTCAGTGAACTACTTACTTAGCCAGCGAACTGGTTTCACAATTTGTTAGAAGCTAGTTAACTTGTTAGTTAGATGGCTAGTTAGTTAGTCAGTCATTTAGATGTTAGGTCGGAGTTTTGTTGGATAGTTATAGTTAGCTAGCTAGATAGTTAGTTTGTTAGTTAGTTAGCTAGTTAGTTACTTAGTCAATTAGTTAGTTGGTCAGTGAGTCAGTTAGTTAGCTGGTTTGTTTGTTTGTTTGTTAGTTCGTTAGTTCGTTGTTTAGTTAGTTGGTTAGTGAGTTGCTCTGTTTGTTAGTGAGCGAGTTAGCTAGTTTAATTAGTCGTTTAGTTAGTTAACTAGTTAGCTAGCTAGCGAATTAGTTAGCTAGGTAGTCAGTTAATCAGTCAGTCAGCTAGCTACTTCGTCTAGCTTCACATTCGTGGATGCAGGCGTGCGCACATGCATGGACGTGGGCATGTATGCTTGCAGAAGCTTACAATACACCCAATTATTTCAATGCTTCAGCTCGTGTCTGATTTTGTTGTAGCAATGTTACTGAAGTCATACAAATGCCAACATCAACTAGAATCAACGAGCAGCGCGATTTTTGTTGACATAGCTTGAGCTACGTGTAAATTTGAGTACCATCGCTGTTTGATTGCCTGTGCTGTAGCTAATACAACCACGTTCTGTGTTTGTTGTCTGTTGCCCGGCTTGTTGCTGCGATGTCATTGTCGTTCACGGAAGCCCTGGTTACACGAGCTTATGCTGCCAGTTTCGCCGAAAGCCAGCAAGAGTCACGCTGGTGCGAAGATTACTTGAAAGGTAGCAGTATGAACCCGCTACCTTCGTAACTTAAGTCGAGTGCCTCCACTTGCTCACAAACGGAAAGGTGACCTGGGCATTCCAAGGACTGTGGTAAGTAGGTGGCTTAGACTTTAGCATCAAGATGCATCAAGGCACGATGGGTCTATGCGTACCACCACCCCTCACCTGCACTGCCCATCCTCAATTCCCAACGTGCAACTGAAGCACCCAACGCCGTTACACGGCTGCAAGCTAAGACAAGTAAAGATCCCATGTGTAGCGCTCAATGCATGTATTTGTTTGTTCAAGCATTTGTATATATGTATGTATGTATACGTAACTGTATAGGCCACCATTGCCACTGCCACCAAAAGTTCCACTATCGTTACTGCTACCAGAATTGGTATTTTACTGTGACTGCTCCTGCTACGTCTACAGCTGCTACTACTCCCACTACTACTGCGACCATTTCGACGGACGACAACAACGACGACCCGACAACGACGACGACTACTACTACTACTACTTACTACCACTACCACTACCACTACTACTACCACTACCACCACCGCTACCACCACCACCACCACCACCACCACCGCAGCCACACCACCACCACCACTACCGCTGCCGCCACCACCAC